CAACTTGAGTTTAGAGTGGTCTTTGTGCTTTTTTTTTTTCTTTTTTGGTTAAGGACATATTTGGGACATTAAACTCATTCTTCTTCTTTTTCTTTTTTTGAGACAGTCTCACTCTGTTACCCAGGCTGGAGTGCAGTGGTGCAAACACAGCCTGCTACACATTTTTGCCCTTTCCATACTGCATTACTCAACAAATGCTGGCTGTAGAGCACACATGAAATAAAAAACCCTAACCTCCCCCACTTAGTAATAATGTGACTACAACGTAAAATAACCAACTGTCCAATCAAAATACTTCAGGTGGTAGGGCTTGCATGTTGCTGGTGGGAGAACTGAACAATTAAGTGACTTTCCTTCAAAGGTATGGTTAAAAGGAACATAGAAAGTTCAATTTCGGTTCTCTGCTTATTGAATCATACTGTTTTCTTTAAATTCTATGAAAACATTTCAAAAAAACTAAATGTTATAACATCAATTCTTGTATACAGTGACAGAATCAATCACTTTTCTTGTGTAGTTTAAAAGCATGAAACCCATCTTATTCTAGAAAGGCATGCTGAAGAAGTCTGGAAACATACCTGACTTCTCCATAACCTGTATGTGGAGAAAAAATATCTAACTGACAATGATAGCTACCAATGGAAATTACATGTAAAGCACCAGTACAGCAGTTTTCCCACTCACTATCATCCACTAGTTCTGTGACAATAGATGAGACTGCTACTTAGTGGAACAAAACAGGTAGGCTAGGTTTTTGTCAGTTCGTTTTATGAACTCCCATCTATCTTGACTGACTGTGCTGATATCAAACAAGCTGTCTCATTTTATGTTCAATATCATCCAGAGAACAGGGGTAATTAAAGCCTAGAGGGTCCAGGCAGGTAAAATGGCCTAGAGAGCACTCGGGCAAATGAGAGGGCATGTATCGTGGTGGAAGTGAATACCTGCTACTTAGCCCCAGCAGGTTGAATTTAAGAGATTGGTCAGAATGGTGCAAGCAATTATAGAAAATGTGAATCTTCTTGGAAGCCCAGAAGGTTTTGCAAAAGCCTTGGAAGAAGTTATGGCTGATGGCAGCCTAATCCTCTTACCTTGAGCTAATAGCAAAAAGCAAATAACAAGGGAATGTTGAAGAGTTTATCTAAATAGTTTGTTTACTCATGTGGTCCTAAGACCAATCTTTGATCATCCACACAACTGTTCTCTACTGTGTGTGTGTGTGTGTGTGTGTGTGTGTGTGTGTGTGTGTGTGTGTTGGGAAGGGGGTGTAGGCAATGTTAATTAACCTTTAATGGTGTTTTACTTGAGACCTTTGTCACTTAATCTGTGCTAAATAAATGCCAACATAGGCAGCTTATCATGGCCACTGCTGACTCTGGCAGAGATCCCCTGGCTGCATTGACTGGCAAGCCTGTGTCAGTGTGCCTTTTTCATCTGTCGCTTGGTCGAGTCTGCCAGTTGGACTAGACAGTTGAAGTCACACAAGAAAATAAGTCCTTTGTTGCCAGCTTCTCCAAGTTTTAAAGAAGCAGCTAGAAATCCAGGTTTTATATAAAAATTTCCATATTTTAAAATATGTATTCCTAGTTCATATTTGGCTATGTTTGCCAAATGAAACAGTTCTCTGGGTCAGATCAGAGAAAAGAGTTGCTGGTTTCCTGTTGAAGGTTGTCCATCGGTGACTGCTGTAATAGTTTATAGCTAAGCATATAAACTGCATGTACCACCCTGATGGCAATAGGGAGCCATGGTAGCCATGGCTTTAGCAATTAGGTATAAATCATAAATGTGGGGCAAAAAAGTTTTTTAAGTTTACTAATATCACCAAAAGAGCAGATAATTCTACAGATACGTTTTAAAAATCTAAAGTATAGTTTGGAACACTTTTAATCTTTACTACTGTTAATCACATCTTAGTCTAACCTGTATTTTAACTGCAGATCATGATCACAATACACTTTCTGTCCTCCATTTACTTGTCTCTTTTCTATCTCCAATCTTTTCTTAGTTTGAGATATTTAAGATCATAAGATTTACACAGAGATGGAATGAGATAATATATATAATGTGCTTAGAACAATACCTAGCACACAGGAAGAATTCGAAACTTGTAAGCATCTTCTGTTATCGTGAATATTATTTCACTGTCAAAGCCCTCACCAGGCTGATCTACAGTTTGTGGAAAGGTAGGGTTAACTGCCACAACTTGGCTGTTAACAAAACTTCTGCTTACACAATGACTTCTGTTCCTGCCCTCTTTAGGTATCTGTGTCTTAAATTATCCCCCATTAATTTCAGTTCCCCTGAGGCAGCTGAGAATCTTTTTCACATGAGAACAAAGAAAAAGAGAGGTCTCCATAGGGCATTTTGTAGCAAGGGAGATAAAGGGCCTCCTTCTCTCCTTTTCTTCTAGGAGACAGGGGTACTTTTCCACTTTTTTGTTTCTTTGTGAAACTGACTCCTTTTCTCTCCCAAACTAATTACTCCACTGGATAGGTGGGAGTTGAATTTGTACACCATACTACTTATCTAATAATTTTCTGCTACTTGTAATAACTTAATATATAATCCAGTACACCACCTCAGTTATTTTTAAAAGTGCATTATCATTCATTGAAAAGAAGGATATTTTCATATATCTTAAGGGATTAATATACAAAATGTTTAAGAAATTCAATGGCAAGAAAACAAACAGCCTGATTTAAAAATCAGCAAAAAATCTGAAGAGGTATTTCGCAAAAGAAGACATACAACGCCAGGCATGGTAGCTCACACCTGTAATCCCAGTGCTTTGCGAGGATGAGGTGGTCGGATCACCTGAAGTCAGGAGTTTTAGATCAGCCTGGCCAACATGGTGAAAACTCATCTCTACTAAAAATACAAAAATTAGCTGGATGCAGTGGCATATGCCTGTTATCCCAGCTACTCAGGAGACTCATGCACGAGAATCACTTGAACCCAGGAGGTGGAGGCTGCAGTGAGCTGAGATGGTGCCACTGCATTCCAGCCAGAATGAAAGAGCAAGACTCTGTCTCATAAAAAATACAGACATACAAAAGGGCCAACCAATTATGAAAAAATGCTCCAACATCACTAATCATCAGGGAAATGCAAACTAAAACCATGATGAGATATCATTTCCCAACTGTTAGAATGGCTATTGCCAAAAAAGACAGAAGATTATAAGTATTGATGAGGTATACGGAAAAAGAAGACCCTTGCATACTATAGGTGGAAATGTAAACTAGTTTGTGGAAAATAGTGTAGAGGCTCCTCAAAAAAATAAAAAATAGAACTACCATATGACTCAGAAATCCCACTACTGGGTATATATTTAAAGGAAAAGAAGTCAGTATGTTGAAGAGATAGCTACACTCTCATGTTGATTGAAGCGTTATTTACAAAACCCAAGACATGGAATCAGCATGTGTGTCCATCAATGGACAAATGGATAAAGAAAATGTGGTTTATATACAAAATGGAATACTACAGCCTTTAAAAAGGAAAAAATAATCCTGTCACTTGCTACAATATGGAAGAACTTGGAGAACATTATGTTACATGAAATAAGCCAAGCACAGAAAGACAGATACAGCAGGACCTCATTTTTACGAGAAATCCAAAAAAGTCAAACTGGCAGGAACAGGCAGTAGAATGTCGGTTATTAGGGGCTGGGGGCAGATGATGGATGGGGGAAGATTAGGGAGATGTTGATCAAAGGAGACAAAATTTCAGTTATATTTGAGGAGTAAATTCGAGATGATTCACTGTTCAACATAGTGTTTATAGTTAATAACCATGTATTACCATACTTTAAAATTTCTGAAAAAGTAGAGTTTATGTGTTCTCACCACATATAAATGACAAATATAAGGCAATGTATATATTAATTAGCTCAATTTAGTTACTCCACAATGTATACATATTTCAAAACAAGTCATATACCATATATATACAATTTCTATTTGCAAATTAACAAATTTTGAAAAGAAGAATATCTGATCCACAGGTCCATTAAATTAGCAAGTAATGAGTTAATATTAAATAAGGAAGAAATGTTATTGAAATGTTGCTGTCATTCTCTCCTTAAGTAGGGGCCATCAGTAAACAAGTCTCAATCAGTAAACAAGTCTCAGTGCCTGATTCAGTATTCAGTTATTTGAAGCTAAGATTCTGAAATTTCTATCACAGGCACTATAAGCAAATGCCAAACATAGGGAATGTCAATTAGATGGCAGCACAAGGGAAATGACTCCTCAGCCATTCAGGGCTTCACAAAGGAGGATCAAGTCAACAATTTCCCAGCACTCTCAGGGGATATGGAAGGGCTCAGCACAATTCCACTACCTCTTAGGGCTCCTTCCTTAAATTCTGTAATCTGCATCACATCATATTGCAGGGATGTGCTAAGAAACATACAGACATGAACACCTGAACAGGAGGAAGCTAAAGAAAAATAACTTCCATTGTACATATAAAAAGTAACTTCTACTGTATTTTTTACAGTAGAGGTCTATTCTGTCTTCTCTCCTGCTTTAAAAATAATCATTTTCTAATCCAATCAAATGCATTTATGGTAATTTTTTAATTGCATTTTAGGTTTTGGGGTACATGTGAAGAACATGCAAGATTGTTGCATAGGTACACACATGGCAGTGTGATTTGCTGCCTTCCTCCCCTTCACCTATATCTGGCATTTCTTCCCATGCTATCTCTCCCCACCTCCCCACTCCCGTCCCTCCCCCATTTCCCCCCAACAGACCCCAGTGTGTGATGCTCCCCTCCCTATATGGTAATTTTTAAATTAGAAATTGAATTACATTAAAAAACAGAATCCAAGGCTTTTCAATCCCCATATTAGACACAGTGCCTACTGGTATCTGCAAGTTGTGATGCTGTCTAGTTTAACACTTCAACTCAAGGGGAATATTTACTTCGGTGTAGGAGAAAACCACGTATCAATTCTATAGAACCAGTTAAGTAGAATCAAAGAGGTATACCTGCAGGTTTTCAATTTCTTCTTTGTGCTCCCTCTTCAAGTGTAAAATAGCAGCTTGGTATTCTGTAAAATGAAAAAAGAAGCCAGTTATAAAGAAGTACAAAAGTAGGCACAAAATGTATTCTAATGGTCCTCTTCAAAATAAACTAAAATAAATGCCACAATTTGATATTAACCTGACAAGAGATGTTAAAAATTGCTGAAAGACATTACCAATAGTTAAGGATAAAAGGTAAATTCCTTCTTTTCAGCAAACCCTGAATTATGAAAAGTCACAAATTAAGTAGATGGGATAGGGTTAAAAAAAAAAAAAAAAGGATGATGAGTATGTTCCAGATTAACACTGGGTCAGGTGTTATCTTTAAGGAGTTGGAAGTTAAGGCCCCACAGAAGACAAATACAGAGGTCTTAAGAGCAGAAAGGGCAGGAAACAAAAGAAAACTTTCTATGTGAGATCAGAGAACTCTATTTTTAACTCCGCTTCAAAAAAAGAAACAAAAATCTCCATTTGAATGCAAGGCTAAGTAAGCACCCACAGCTGATTTTAATCTTTATCTCAGAAAGTCAATACTATCTGTCATTTGGATGAGAGATTCTTGGGTGAATTGAGGCTGAAAGGACAAAACTAAATTTCTGGTCCAATTTTAATATGATTCTAATCATGTTTATTTCAACAATAAGTCCCAAGTGTACACAAAAACTCCAGCCAGCCACTAAAACTACCATTCTGCTGGCTAAGCATGAAGCTGTTAAGACAACTTTATTTCCAGCAGAAATGCTAAGTGTGTGGGGTCATGGAACTATACAGGCTGCAAAGAACCACAAGGCAAAATGCTATGAGCACACATTTTTGTGAGATAAGCCAATTTTTTACAAATGTGTTTGGGGTCATGAATGTGAGTAAGAAAGGTGTAGTTTTCCTTCTTTTAATTATGTGTGAACGCCAGGCTATTTTTCTAAGTAGATTTCCTAAATCAGGCATGAAAGTTTGAATTTTAATTAAAAAATGGAAAAGGAAATCACTGGCAAAGCCATGCCAGAAGAGGAGTGTTGCTGCTGCTAATTATGGCTATAGACCACTACTGTTGTGAGGAAGGTGCTCCACTGAGCTGTGAATCCATTCGAAAGTTCTGTGGTTTCTAAATCCAAACCATACCTTGAATGGTTTGGTCATGAGTACTTGTCACTATCCCCACCAGCACAACGATAATCCAAGCTACCACCCACTCTCTGCTAGACTAAAGCAGTGTACTTCTGGTAGGTACTTCTACTCTTAGCACCACTGTAATTGATTCTCATCAAAGCTGACTGAGTTATCTACATAGACGTGAACCAGATCATCTCATCCCTGGCTTTTCATGCAATTCGAGTGAAACCAGAGCTCTCTGCTGTAGCCCATAAAAACCTCCATGTCCTGGTTCTTACATCCCTCTTCCTATCATTTCATACCACTCCTTCCCCTTGTTCATTATACTCCAGGTACACTGGCTTTCTTGCCATTCCTTGAACTTGTTCTTTTCTACCTCAAAATCTTTGCTAATATTGAAAACAACAGGAATGACTACTTACATCAGGCATTATTCTAAGTACTTTGTATTTATCAACTCATTTCATCCCCGCAATAACCCTATGATGTAGGTACTTTTATTATCTCTATTATTGATGAAGACAGTAACAGATATTAAATAGCTTGATCAAGGAAGTAGAATAATTTTCAGAGCCAGAAAACATGCTTAATTTAATGGGTGAATGTATAAACAAATGATGGTATGTCCATATAATGAAATACTATTCAACAATAAAGAGGAATATATGCATCAACATGAAAGAATCTTTTTTTCTTTTTTTGAGATGAGATTCACTCATGTCAGCCAGGTTGAAGTGCAATGGCACAGTCTTGGCTCACTGCAACCTCCACCTCTCAGATTCAAGCAATTCTCCTGCCTCAGCCTCCCAAGTAGCTGGGATTACAGGTGCCCACCATCAGGCCTGGCTAATTTTTGTATTTTTAGTATAGACAGGGTTTCACCATGTTGGTCAGGCTGCTTTCGAACTCCTGACCTCAGGTGATCCACCCTCTTAAGCCTCTCAAAGTGCCTGGCCAATGTGGAGAAATCTTAAAGGCATTATGCAGAGTGAAAGCAGTCAGTCTCAGAAAGCCAACCACTATACAACTGCATTTATATGACATCTGGAAAAGACAAAACTAGAGAGATGAAGAACAGTTCAGAGTAGTAGTTGCTAGAGGTTAGAGATGGGCATTCAGGGAGGGGGTTGACTACAAAGTGGCAGCAAGCAAAGGAATTTTAGGGGTAATGATATTAGATATTATTCTCTATCCTGATTATGGAGGTTGTTACATGAATCCATATATGTTGAGTGTTAAAATTCAAGAAACAGTACACCAAAAAAAGTATGGTAATTTGTTTTAAATCTGACATCAAATATTATACTGGTAAATGTTTTCTCTATGAGATTCAGCATTACACAAGGATATCTGCTACCATCGTTTATATTTATCATTTTTCTCGGGCTACTAGCAGATGTAATAGGATACGCAAAAAGACTAACAAGATAGAATAGAGAGTCTAGAAAGATACCATTAATTTATGGTTCCTTTATTTATGACAGAAGTAGTACTGAAGATCATTACTTAAAGAATGATCTTTTCAATAACTATTGGCTGGGAAAAAAATAATATTCTGCCTATTTCTTATGGAAAAAGACAAAACTGGATCCTAACCTTATACTATACAATAATCTATTTGAAGTCGTGTAAGTGCTCAACTGTAAAAAGCAAAATTGTAAATATTTTATTAGATAATATAGCATATTTTATAACATCAGATAGAAAAAGGATTTCTTAATATTTACAAAGCAATATATATAAAGAAAAAAACTTGATAAATTTGACTGCATTAAAATTAAGAACTTCTTTTTCTTAAAATATATCATAGAGAAACAGACTGACAATAGATCAATCTGTTATCAATAGAGATAATATTCCCCACAGAGTGGGAGAATATACTTGTAGCATAATCCACAAATATCTAGTATAAATATATAAATAAATCCTATAAAACTATAGAAAATTAAGCTCATGTGAAAACTGGGCAAAAAACATCAACAGGCACTTTAAAAAGATAATATACAAATAATAACTATGTTAAAAGGTGCTCCTTCTTATTAATCAGGAATACTTAAGGTCTGAAAACAGAGCATTGGTGAAGATCTGGAACAATGCAAACTTTCACACGCTTACAGTAGGAGTTCAAATTGAGACAATCACTATGAACAATTATATTTTCTAATAAAGTTGAAGATATTCATGCTTCCTTAACCAACAATCCTAACCTTAGGCATGTATAAATGACAAAACTATGAAGAAAAGCAACCTTTCTGCCATTGGACGGCACAAAAGAAAGCACTGTCTGTCTTCCCACTGCTGTCATGTCTCAGCCAGAGTCCTTCAAAGAGCCCTAACGCTGTGGAAGCTCCTCATCAGAGGGCTGAGCTTTGAAACCACCGTTAAGAGGCTCAGGAGACATTTTGTGCAATGGGGAATGCTGAAGAACTGTGTAGTAATGAGATATCCAAACACCAAGGGCTCCAGGGGCTTTGGGTTGTCACCTATGCCACTGTGGAGGAGGTAGATGCAGCCTTGAATGCAAGGTCATACAAGGTGGATGGAAGAGTAGTGGAACCAAAGAGAGCTGTCTCAAGATTCCCAAAGACCAGGTGCCCACTTATCTGTGAAAAAGATAATTTGACGATAGCATTAAAGAAGACACTGAAGAACATCACCTAAGATTTTGAACAGTATAGAAAAACTGAAGTGATTGAAATCATGACTGCTCAAGGCAGTGTCAAGAAAGGGGACTTTGCCTCTGTAGCCTTTGACAACCATGACTCTGTGGATAAGACTGTCATTCAGAAATACTATACTGTAAATGACCACAACTGTGAAGGCAAGAAAGCCCTGTCAAAGCACTGAATAGCTAGCGCTTCATCCAGCCAAAAGATGTCAAGGCAGTTCTGGAAACTCTCATGGTAGCCATAAAGGTTGTTTTGGTGGGAATGACACCTTTGGTTGTGGAGGAAACTTCAGCAGTCATAGTGACTTTAGTGGTAGCTGTGGTGGTGGAGGATATGGTAGCAGTGGAGATGGCTATAGTGAATTTGGTAATGATGGAAGCAATTTTGGAGGTGGTGGAAGCTACAATGATTTTGGCAATTAAAATGATCAGTCTTCAAATTTTTGATCCATGAAGGGAAAAACTTTGGAGGCAAAAGCTCTGGCCCCTATGATGGTCGCTTTGATATTGGAAGCCAATACCTCGCCAAACCACAAAACCAAGGAGGCTATAGGGGTAGCACTAACTATGGCGCTGGCAGAAGATTTTAATTACTGCCAGGAAACAAAGCTTAGCAAGAGAGTAGAGCCAGAGAAGTGACAGGGAAGCTGTAGGTTCCAACAGATTTGTGAACTCAGTGAAGCACAGTGGTGGCAGGGCCTGGCTGCTACAAAGAAGACATGCTTTATACAGTACACCTGTGTATGGGCAAAAGACTTAAGGACTGTATTTGTGATTAGTTGTATAACAGGTTATTTTAATTTCTGTAGTATAAAGCAGTCCAACAAAGGGTTTTAATATAGTGGGGGTTTCTTGCACCCATGCTATGAATTGTGAAATGTGATAGTCTGATCATGAAGCAGAATAAATGTGTCTTTTATTTTAAAAAAGAAAGAAAAGCAAGTAATAATATTAATAAAAGTCAGAAGAATGGTGGTTTCCAGGAGAAGACAAACTGAGCTGGGTTGTGATTGGGCAAGGAGGTATTGTATAGATATTAAATGAAAAATTATTCTTTAAATTGGAAATGTTTTATGAAATTTTCTTTATGCATATCTAACATTAAGATAAAAAAAAGCTTTGCTTTTGAAAATTGGTTACATTAGTTTTCTCAAATATCAATATAGGCAAAAGAGAATATCTGGATTCATAAAATAAGAAGCACAAAATGATTTAGTAAGTTTGAATCTTGTGTAAATGTTGAGTCCT